TCTTTACCAGCAAAGAAGAAGAACCAGGAGTGGGGTTTGTCTTTTAGGTCCCTGCACTGAGAACTTCCTAAACCCAAGAAACAGATTGATGGCAAGAAGCTGTGGGTAGAGTACTGATGGCAGCAGAACCAGGAGATGGGTACAAGACTCTTCCTGGTCCACAAAACAAGGCAGCCAACATGTGGAGCAAGCAATCAGAACACCTCTGGGCAGGAGGCTACCTAGCTGAGTGGGATACCTCTAGGCACTAATTGGCAGAGCTAAAAAGCTTTGTAACACTTGATTAAGCAGAATATAGCCCAGACCAATGGCCTAGGGAAAGACCTGCCTGTAGGCATGGCCAAAAAGTGTCTGAATCTGAATTGTAATGATGAAATATAAGAGCTTATTTACAGAATATTTCAAAGGGTGGCTTAAAAAATCAAAATGAAGTATAATGAAATGTTGAAAGGCCTGGAGTTAGAAAACCAAAAGGGAAGAACACGCCTGACATTTCTCAAGCTGAAAGAACTGAAGAAAAAATATTGAGTCTCCTGTTACTCCTTACAATTGAAGGATTCTATGGGTAAAATACAGATTCCTGGTATGGTGCTGTAAGATAAAATACTGAACTGTTTCAGACCCACCAGCCACTTCTCAGAAACCCTATACAGGATCGCTATAAGTAGGAACCAACTTGACAGCACTTAACAAGAGCAACAACATGGTAAAATGAAGATGGAAGGAATATACAACATCACTATAATAAAAAGAAGATAGTCTATGATCAAGGACCAGTAGTTTTGAAGAAAGAAGCCCAAGCCACACTGTTGGCATCATAAAAGACAAGAATTTAAGGAATCCCAGCTGAGATGTTTCAACAACCAAATACATTGTTAGAAGCATTCATTTGTCTATGTCAGAAATTTGGAAGACCTTGCCAACTGACTGAAATGGGTCCGTATTTGTGTCCATTCCAAAGAAAGGCCATCCAAGACAATATGGAAATTGTCAAACAATATCATTAATATTACACACAAAATATTGCTAAAGATAATTCAAAAACAGTTGCAGAAGTATATCGACAGGGAACTGCCAGAAATTCAAACATCAAAAAAGGACTCCTGTCAACCTGGAGATGAGAGAGAGAAGAGGAAGGGGCTGGTTGGTCTGAAGTTTGGGGAGACTTGGGAACTCCTGAGCACATGGACAAGGACATAGCCAGGGAGTACTAGAGATGAGAGTGAAGCGTCCAGCTGATATGAAGTGATGGGAGATGCACAAGAACACCCAAACTTGCAGACAGTACCCATTTGACCTAGCTTCGATGGCTGGGTGATAAGAATTCGACTAGAGGAAGATAAAAAAAAAAAAAATTTGATAAAGGAAACGTGTAAATTGCTACAATTTGAGGAACTTGACCTATACTGGTAGATGTAGTAGCTCAAAATACCAACTGAGAGGGAAGGAATCTTCACATCAAGGATCAATCGTATTCCCTCTGTACACAGGGTTGATAGGGACGGGCAACTTAGACAATGACTATCTAAAATGGGAGGGATATAAAGGCACAAAGTGACTGGCTTACAAATTTTCAAGAGGAAGTTTAGTTTCAGAGTTTGTAGGGGAAGATAGAGAGTCCCCATTGAATAATTTTCATCTTGTCTAGATAGGTCTGGTGAAAGGAGACGAGGATAAGATTCTTATGATTTAACAGTGAGTAGTTATCATGACTGATTGCAGCTGTCACACTGTAAAGGTGGAAGTTTTGTAACAAAAACTGGGGAGTAGGTAATCTTACAGTCCAGGAACACAGGACCCTATAACCATCAAGGGAGAAGAGCACGAATGGAATGTGGGACCCTAACCAGAGAAGCAGTGACACTAGAGATAAGGACACGGAGAAACAGAGCAGCTGAGGACTCTAGACTCATGGAAAGAGCAAGGCTGTGTGCTGGCAGCCAGGAGGCAGGCTTACAGAATGTACCCTTTGGTTGGTTGTTTAAATGATTATATGTTCCTTAGTGTTTTGTGTGCATTCAAAAAAATTCAAAAACACACCGGAATAGAAGCAAATACTGTTGAATGATAATGCATGGGGGGATTGTAATCATTACAGTGAAACGAAATACGATAGGAGTGTAAAACCTATGTTCTCCCATGTAAACTTCACTCAATTCACAACAAAAACTTAAAAGAAAAAGGCCATGAAATGAGGGGTGGTGTTTATGATGTCTCATTAATCTTGACTGAAAGCAGAGAATACCATAAAGAAGTTTACTTGTGTTTTATTGACTATACTAAGGTATTCAACTGTGTGGATCATAATAAATTATGGGTAACATTGTGAAGAATGGGAATTCCAGAACATTTCACTGTGCTTATGGAGAACTTGTACATAGAAGTCATTTAAACAGAGCAATGGGATACTGTGCATCAGTGTTGTGTCCTTCTACTAATTCATTTTGTATGCTGAACAAATAATCCAATAATCTGAAATATAAAAAGAAGAATGCTGCATCAGGATTGGATGATGATTCATTAACATTTGATGTGCAGATGACACAACATGCTAAAAAGTAAAGAGGATTTAAATCACTTACTGATAAAGATTAAATACTACAGCATTCCCCATGGATTACACTTCAGCATAAAACAAAAATCCTCACATCAGGACCAGTAAGCAACATCATGATAGACAGAAAATACTGCTATTTTCAAGGATTTCATTTTACTTGGAGCCACAATCAACACTAGTAAACAGCAGTCAAATGAAACCTTAACCAAATTTGCTATAAAAGTTCTCCTTAAAGTGTTAAAAGCAAGACACATTTAGGACTGAGACGTGCCTGACCCAAGCCATGGTATTTTCAATTTCCCCATATGCATATGAAAGCTGAACAATAAAAAAAAAAAAAAAGAGTTGATGTCTTTATGATGCTGGTGGAAATTATTAAATACACTATGAACTGCCAAAAGAAATAGCAAATCTGTCATGGAAAAAGTGTAGTTGACCATGGCATTGAAACAATACACGATAGGATGAATGTAAAACTAATGTTCTCCCATCACATAATTCACAATAAAACATTAAAAAAAAAAAAAAAAAAGGGCAGTTGGAAGAATGTCCTTAGAAGCCAGGACAGTAAGACTTCATCTCATGTGGGGACATGGTATCAGGAGGGAGCAGTCCTTGGAGGAAAAAATCGTGTGAAAAAGAAGAAGACCTTCATGAAATGGAGTTTGCATAGTGACTGCAACAGTGGGCTCAAACATAGCTGATTGTGAGGAGGGTGTAGGATTGGTGCAGTGCTTTGGTCTTTTGTTCATTAGCTGGCTATGCATCAGAACTGACTGTTAGCACCAAATAACTTCATTAAGGAAAAACAAAAATCACAAAGTTTATTTATGTAGCAAGAGAAGGTACATTTTATCAAGTAAATACTTTATGACTTAGATTAAGTTACCTAAATGTTTTGAATTTTAAAGTAGTTATTGTGAATCGGGCTGCAAACCTTAAGGCCAGTAGTTCAAAACTACCAGTCACTCTGAGGGAGAAAGATGAGGCTTTCTGCTCCTGTAAAGATTTACAGCCTTGGAAACCCTGTACAGGGTTGCTATGGGTCAGAACTGACTCAACGGCACTTAACAACAACAACAACAACAACAATTGAGACAAATTAAAGGTAATTCCTTTGATTTATAGAATATTTTAAACAAAAGTTTTTAGAACAAATGAGTATGTCAGGAATTTCAAAATTACAGGAGAAAAAAAACAGTTTTTCTGACAAGTCTAGAAATAATTGTTTTAAATGAATTTTGCTGTGTTTTATTCTCAGGATGATGCCAACAATGACCCACAGTGGTCAGAGGAACAGCTTATTGCTGCAAAATTTTGCTTTGCTGGACTTGTTATTGGCCAAACTGAAGTGGATATCATGAATCATGCCACACAGGCTATTTTTGAAATACTGGAAAAATCGTGGTTGCCCCAGAATTGTACATTGGTTGATATGAAGGTACAATTGGAGATTTGAAAGTAAAATTGTCATGAAGAAATGTCTTTATCCATAGAACTATGGTAGCTTAGAAAATACATGAGTAAACATGCAATGTTCTGTAATCGATTGACTAAAATGCTCTTAATTTCCTGGACAGGATCAGAAAATAAATTTTCAAAACAGAACCTCTGAGATGTTGTAACAGTGATTTTTTTTTTTTTTTTTAATCTGAAATTGCAACAGCCCTTTAGGGTTAAGTTCAGCACACTATCTATATCCTTCAGCCACAGCAGAATTTATTATTCTTTTATTTTTGGAGTATATACTCTACTGCTTTAAAATGTTGTCCCTGGAATGATCTGAGGAGCACTGGGTGTAATCTCCTTCCTCAAAAATTCCTTCTCCAGCAGAGATGATGATGTGGACAGAAGGAGCTGCTGGGGACTCTAGACTCAGGGAGGGAGAGGGGCTGTGGGCTAGTGGCCGGGGGCAGGCATGTGGGGTGTACCCTTTGGTTGTTTGATCATGCATGCAAGGGATTGTGATCATTGCAATGAAACAAAATATGATAGGATGAATGTAAAGATAATGTTCACCCATGTAAACTAACACATCATTCATAATAAAAACTTAAAAAAAAAAAAGGAATGTCTTTAGTAGTATAGTTTTTGTAAACTTCTCTTTGGTGGTATGCTTTTTCTAGATAGAATTTGGTGTTGATATAACTACCAAGGAAATTGTTCTTGCTGATGTCATTGATAACGATTCCTGGAGACTCTGGCCAGCAGGAGATAGAAGCCAACAAAAAGATAAACAGGTGATGCTTCATGTTTTTTATCCTTCACAAGATCATCTCTGTATAGTGAAGAGAGAAGGAATGGAAGGAAAAGTGAAGGCAGTTAGTTATTCTTGCGTTTCATATGAACCTAATTTACGGATTACTTAAAAAAATTAAAAGATTAGCTGTTATCCTAATAGACTCTCATACCAGAGTATTAGAGCAACATTCTCCTTGTTTCCTTCTTTCAAAACTAAAGTGCCTCTGAGAGAATAAGTATCTTCACAGTTAGAAGAGTAAGCACAGACCTGGGACTCAACCCCAGGACTCTGGCTTTTTTAAGGTTCCATTTTTGTTCTGTTTTTTTAAATTTTCTGTTCTTATAAAAAAAATAATAGAGCCGTGTAATTGCTTGTGTGGAAAGCAATCATAATGAGATGAAAATCATGCATGCCTCACTGTTTGAACTTTCGGTTGCCAAGTTCAGAAAATGAATTTGCAGATGCTTACACATTTTCTAGATATCTGATGTTAGACAGCCAAACCTTTGACAATCCCTACCCAAAAGTCAGACACCAATTTGTTTCAGTTTGCAAGAGATCCTTGTATACTAAGCTATCTTATTTTCTAGTCATATCGTGACCTCAAAGAAGTTACTCCTGAAGGGCTGCAAATGGTAAAGAAAAATTTTGAGTGGGTTGCAGAAAGAATAGAGGTGAGTCTTTTGAAGTAAATCCTTACAATGTTACGTTTTCCTTAAAAAATGTTTCAGAAGAATTAGGGAGATGGGTAAGGTGCTTTCTTTCTTTTTTTTCCCCCAATAACTTGAAAGGAACACCTTTAAGAAATGTACTACCTTTAAGAAACTGTCCTCACTGGTAAGCCTGAGCTCCCTACTCAAGGTATCCAACAAAGTATCCCAGATCCTATTGCGGAAACCGGAGGGTTTTTTCTCCTCTCGGTCCCTTCTTGAAAAAAACCTTACACTTCTTACCAGCCTCTCCACTACTAATAAATAGCATGGAATGTGTTCTCTTGTTCAGAATTTCATTTCCATGTGACTTTAAATGTCACTTCAAAGTGTATTATTGTTGTTATATAAGTACATGGAAGTTGAGTGGCATTTGTAGTTAACCAAATGTCTTAACCACCTTTCAGAACATTATTTCCTTGGTAATATGTATTTTGAGTTTCAAACAATTAACTTTAAAAGATTTGTAACATGGTCTCTTTATTTTGCCTGAATATGCCTGAACACCTCCACTAAGACATCTGTTTAAAACTCTACCAACAGGGAAGAGACAGATGCAGGTGGTTTTATTACCATTTATTTGTGAAGTTCAAAATGAGCAATAAAAACTGCCATATGATTAAGACAAGAAATCCTCACTTAAAAGAATGTACTGAAAATCTTAAGGAATAATTCATAATTTTCTGAATATTAATTTAAAAGTTTTTATATCAGAGACCAAGTTATCTAATTTAAATTCTTTTAAAAACCATTTTCCATTACGTACGTTGTTGTTAGGTGCTGTTAAGTCAACTCCGACGCATGGAGACCCTGTGCGCAACGGAACAGTACATTGCCCAAGCCTGTGCTTTCCTCATAATTGTTGTCATGATTGAGCCGTTTTTGCAGGCACTGTGTCAGCCCATCTCATTGGAGGATCTTTCTTTTTCGTTGACCCTCTGCTTTGTCAAGCATGATGTCCTTTTCTAGGGATTGATCCCTCATGATAACTTGGTCAGACTACTAGATGAATATCCTTGCTAT